TAGATTTTACAATTTAAATAGACTTTTGCAAAACATTGATGGCCCGCTATTGCTATGTAACATATCGGTATCTTAAGTTAATTGGGCCCGGTGCCAACTCAGTGTCGCTAACGTGAGTAAACTAACTGATAGCATTTAGCTAATATCTACATGCCATGATGGAACTGCTGACTGCATCTTCAGATGAGCTTGTTCAGATATTTCTCTAAGAAGAGAAAGACACCTGATGAAGATGACGCTCGCCAGGTATCATTAGTCTTTTACTGACTCAAATGATGATGGTCAGGTAAAAAATAGTGTAATAATATATCATCAGACACAAACTGGGAACATTTTTAAAATGATTAGGGTGTAGGAAAATGAGAGAAACAATCTCATTGTTGTTTCTATTTGTAGGTGAAGCTTGACTAGAGAAACAGGCTTCAGGGGATCAGTTTGCATCATGTATGCTGATGAGCATCAGCGGCCACCTCTTGGAGAATTTCTCCACAACAGAGCCTTAGAGCTCTTATATAAAAAGAACAACTTACATTTATTTATTATTCTTTTTTAAAAAGCCTTTTTTAACTGACCATTTAATAAATAGGTTGTAAAAGTAAAATCTGCAGTCAAATGTCGTTTGTTTACGCTGCCACGGCTGCCCGGAGAGCCTGCCCCCACTGCTGGAAAAAATCCTAGAGGAAACACTGTGCAACGATAGCTATTTATCACAAAGAGACTGATTTGTTTGTTTGCCTGTCAGTGAGATTGAACAAAAACTATCATGCCAAATTTCACAAAACCTGCTGATAAAGTGGAGCACAAGAAATTGTTAAATACTGGTGCAGAATCGGACAACTTTTGTTTAAATTTTGAAACGGGATTGACGTTCAGTGTCCAATAATAAGATAACGAAGCTGAAAAATAAGTCATCTATACAACAAGCAATTGATAAAATCTTTCCAAAACCACACAAACGCATCAAAATGGCAGATTAAACTACACACATAGCTGTTAAATTCCAGTTTTCTTACCTGACTTTCTGGCTTGGTTTTACACTTATTGGTTAAAGTGGACTTGTTAGCGTGAAAACAGCTGTTTGCTGCTGCAGGAATGAGGCTGATTCATGCAGTGGACCTGAACCAAAACTAGTGGGCCATAAAAACACCACAATACTACAGATTAGAGCAGCTTTAAGTTTATATTTATGTATTTGGGGGTCACTATTTGCAACAACAAACCACAGTCTTTAGGGAGTTGCTTTCATTTTCATTAAGTCTTGCCAGTCCTTCACCCTTTTAGCCTGGTTCTAGACTTCTGAATGGCTGCCCACTTGTCTGATCTGGTGTTGTGCTCACTGACAGCTGTTTCTCTTGGCGGAAAACAACTGAATCAAACACAGCTTTGTATTAACAATGGGGACACGATTGCACTGTGCCAAAGTAAGAAAAATAACAATAAAAATGGCAACAAGGTTGGAGGAGATTGATGTGGCTGTACAGACTGTTGGAAGTCAAGATTACAACTCTTTAATTTTGGTATTAGAACGTTAGTAAAGAACGTTACCTGCTCCTGCTATTGCAACTAACATACCATCTGTAAATGAAGACGATGGTCAAAGGTTACTTGCAAATGGCCGACCAAGGCTGTGGCAGTGCAAGTGGAATTAGAACATCTACTAAAGGTGATTGGGTACCAGAATTCAGAAAGACAGTGTTTGGTCATTATGCTTTCTTAGTAAAAGTAGTAGAAGAGGTAGATTCGATTCACATAAACATGAGAGAGTCAGGAAACTTTGCAGTGTTTAAAACCAGCCTCAAGGTTTGGCCGAAGTCAGCATAAAACTGTCACCATCAATATTTAGCTTTTATTTCTTATATTTACAGATTTTATTTATTATCCCATGCTGATGAGTGTTTAAGTTTGATATTGTTAAATGTAGTGTGTTCATTGCTCTGCAGTTATGTTATTAAGAGATGTAAATTAGCAGCAAGCAAATTGGTGCATTTACGTTAAGTTGTGCACTATCCCTGCAAAAATAAAAGACTAAATAAAAAAATAAAATACTGATTGGTTCAGGCAAAACACACATCTTAAACAGCTGCTCGAGAAGGTTCTGATGAGGCAGGTCTTCATATTTCAGGCGATTTTAAGGAGTGATAGCGTTCAGATCTCAACTTTCTTCTTAATTAAGTTTAAAATAAATTCTTAAAATTTGAGTTAAGCGGTTTCCACATGACATCAGCAGTGTGTGTGGAAGGAAAAGACTGGTGCGTTGGTGGTGGCGGAGGGGGTCAGTGTACTCTGATGAGGCCCACTCACAATGCCTCCTTTTCACAGATGGGCCGTTCACAGGGCCCGGCCCACCTCCTGCCCCTCCCTCCCAGTTCAGCTCTATTCCTTACCGGATCCCTCTGTCTGGTGCAAGTGGTGGGTGAGGGTGGGTGAGGGAGGGGAGGGAAGGCTCTCCACCACTAATGTTTTCTTTAGGAACAGGCTGCTGCTTGTTTGACTTCCAATGAAAACAACGCCAGCGTTTGCAGTTTGAACAAATTGTCCAGTGTTGTCCAGCGGAGTAGAGGGCCAGCGCAGAGGAGACGAGGAGCGGCCGAGTTGGGCAACACACTCGTATGACTGGAGCTCGGTTACGTTTCATTCACGCACACAAGCCGTCACAAATCACTGGCAGATATGCACAGCAGGGTCAAGTCAAAGGCTTGACAGTAAAGTATTTTTGGACTAAAGTTGACATTTATGCTAGTTTTATACAGGGCAAAAAATCCATTAAATGGCCAATGACTATTTGAAATGGAATCCAGGCCACGAGGACACACTAAAGGCTTCATGAACAGGTGTGTTAAGGCGTCGTGCAGAGTCTGAATGAACACCCAATTCTCAGGTGGGACTTGGGGAGGTGAATAGGTTGTGGTTGGATGTGTATTTTACACAAAAAAGTTAAATTTTTATTGCCCCAATTGTTCAGACAAGGCAGCTGGGGGATCAAATTATGACCACAGCAGGAGTTTTAAAGCCAAACCAGCACTGAAAAACAATCCAGGAAGTCGAGTTTATCTGACAAATTCGAAGGTGTATCAGATGCAAAACACTTCACAGAGTGTTTGGAAGGAAGTCATGATTTAGAAACTCTGGACAGTTATCACAGCTGCATTATTGCAACTACTGTGTTGTGACAATCATGAGGTGAGCACCAGAATTACATTGCTCATGTTGACGTGTGCTTGTATTTGCCACAGTAGCATCTTGTTGGATGATGTTGTTCTGAGTCGAGCAACATTTTTATTGGAAGGCTGGACTATATACACATATAAACACGTGCTACAGATAAGTACAGATTAGGAGTAATTGTTATAAATACTGACGTATTCCCACTGCGTTCAGATTACTAAACTGTCACTTCATAGAAACTAAAGTTGGGAATTCTTTTTCCATCATCTGAGGATGCTATTTATCAAAAATGTATTAATTGTATTTATTAATCTTTTATATACTGGCACGTTTTTTTTTTTGCTTTTTTTTTTTACATGTTCATCTGCTTATTTGTTATACTATGACCAAACTGCCTCGATGTAATCTGAGTAAAGATCAAACTGAACAGGACAAGATGAAGAATCTACTGTCATGCTGGCACCTCTGTAACTTAGGTCATGTCCATGTGAGTAATAATACATGGCATGAGGAAATATATAACAACTGGACTTTTTAGCTAAATATCCTCTTATGTTAGCATGTTAACATCTGATGATGTGAGTGTCATTAGTTTTGTAGGTATTTTGCCATAAACGGAAGTATTGGACAAATTAAAGCTTTAATCTGATGATGGGGCTTGTCATCAGGATTCATCTTCTAGCGACCATGAATGTAATATGTGGTTTTGACAACTGAATCCCGTCCAGAGCTTTGTGACCTCACTGTCGCTACATGTATCGGCCCGCTCAGCCATCAGGATGCCCATGAATGGCTTGTTCCACTTGTCTGATTTTGTATTGATTGCAGTCTAAACAGATTAAACTGTCGTCATCTGCTGAGCTTTGTTATACTTTTGGCAGTTTGCACCACTGACGCAAATCATACCTTTTGTTTTACATCAGTGGTACCCTCCATCCAGAGATGACCCTGAGCAGCCATGAGGTGGAATATGTGACAGGAGGGAAATGAAAACAAAATTCTGTAAATTTGTCCTATTTTTCTATAATCATTTTCCTGTAAAACCTGTAAGTCTCTAAAATAAGTGAACTGCTCATGACTGAAATACAAGTTGTCATACACAGACAGAATTTCCTTATGAAGGAACATAAGCCAAAATGTTGGGAACCCCCTTCTACAAAATAAAGGATTAAATCACTTAAACATGTATTTTACTCTGCGATACAGTATTTAAACTAAATGCAACTACAAAGCTTTAACATCTGATTTGTTTTGACATGTTTTTACAATGTGATATCTGTTCACCTGAACTATTGTGAATCAGAGCTGACAACAGCTGCTGTCCTACATGACATGGTGACCTAAATTTGGTCCAACAGTCAGGCTTTAATCCAACATTTCAGTGAACTCATGCAGCCAGATGTGGCAGAGGTTGGAGGTTAGATTTCTGTCTCTGTTGCTAGTGGTGTCTCATGTAAAATATAAACAGCACAGACAATGTTTAAAAAATATCAGAGACCACGAGCAGAAATGTATAAATTTGGATTACTTTAAGGGCTACTAATAACTGATCTGTTGTGCTAAGATTTTGAGAAATAACCTTCATCTGTAATTTTTTCCCCTGATATTCAGACAGATGAATACCAAAGAAAAGAGAGGCAAAAATACCCTTTCAGACCCAGGTTACAAGTGTCATTCTTGTTCCACAGCCATGCGCTCCATTATCTTATCGACTTCTAATAATTTGCTTTCTTGTTAAATGAAGACTGAGGCACCTCCAATGTGTTGCACTGTTCAGATGCAACATTTATACATTTGGCGACAAACAAACAGGCAAATAAAACATCAGGCTTTACCGTATCTGAATCAATGGGCTGGTAAGAGAAGTCTGGAGCTTGCTGAAACATCGGGTTCTTCTGTACAAACTGCTGCTGGTGGAACTCCTGCAGAACCTGCATATGTGTTTGAAGAGAAAAGATGAAACACATGTTTAGGTTTTAACAGAAGCTAACAAGTGATCCTACCTCTGTACTTAGATAATTATTGTGGAGCAAAGCCTTTAAGCTGTAAGCTTTTTGTCTTTATTATGATGAATAATTTTCAGTCATATACTTTCCAAGACAAAGGCCTCCAGTTTCACAGCTGCAAGCAAAGTGGAAACGTGCAAATCCAACAGAAAAGGTAATAACAGCGTTGCATGCACCCCATGACTGCAATAAACAAATTGTTTTATCTATTAATCTGTCTGGGAATTCTTCAATTCATGTCTACAAAATATCAGAAAATAGTGAAAAAAAAGCCAATATTACAAATCTATAACATTAAATAAACACAAGAGACTGATTGTCAACAACAGTAAGATATTCACTCAATTGTGATGCAAGACAAAAGCATCCATCCATTTTCTATACACCGCTTAATCCTCACTAGGGTCGTGGGGGGGCTGGAGCCTATCCCAGCCGACTTAGGGCGAAGGCAGGGGACACCCTGGACAGGTCGCCAGTCCATCGCAGGGCCACACTTAGAGACAAACAACCAAGCACACTCACATTCACACCTACGGACAATTTAGAATCAACATGTTTTTGGACCTTGTGGGAGGAAGCCGGAGAACACGGAGAGAACCCACGCTGCACGGGGAGAACACGCAAACTCCACGCAGAAAGATTCCGGTGCCCCCACCGGGACGCGAACCGGCAACCTTCTTGCTGCGAGGCAGCAGTGCTACCAACTGCGCCACCTTGCAGCCCCCCAGACAAAAGCATCAAATCCTTAAATTTGACCAGTAAACAATATTTTTAATTTAAAAAAAGACCATACAACCATTATGCAGTTAACAAAATAGTTGCTGATTAATGTTCTGGTCATCCAATTATAGAGTAATTGAATAACAATATATCAAACACCTAATCACAGCGTAACCAGTCTTATTTTGTAGATGAACAGTTGACTGGATACAAACTTTTTATTTATTTTTTAACAGATATTTACATCCAGTTGCTGAAAGTAAAATAATTTATCAACAATGCCAACTTAAGCTGCTAATTGTGGAAATTCCAGTTGCATGTATACATATAAATAACATGCTTAAAGTAAAATAATATTAATTCTAATGTCTAATATATTTGACAAAGGCAGCAGCAGAGATCTTTGAAACTATACAACTTAGACTCTTACACTGTAGTTTAAAACTCCAGGGGCCTCATTTATCATCAGTGCGTAGAAAAGCTTCTAAATTCTGTCGTATGCATGAAATTTAGAGTGTGCGGAAGTACAAAAAAATCTATATTTATCAAACGTGTGCACAGGGGTCGTACGCACATCAGTGTTGGTAAATCCCACTTGTTCTGAACCTCCGTGCTCGTGCATGTTGCCTTGAGAAACGCCTCCAAATAACCATATAGGGCAACAACCAGCCTCTTTATAAAGCAAGTGAAGATTTATTTTTTTCCTCACCTGTCATCAGCATCGTGGCAAAAAGGGAGAAAAAGAGGAACTTTTCTGAAACTGAAATCGAGGTACTTGTCAGTAAGGTTGAAGCAAACCAGAAAACATTGTTTGGTGCGTGAAATGTTGGGATAAGCAGCGAAAGAAAAAATGCTGCATGGGACAAGATAACCACCGCAGTTATTTCTGTTGGGTCAGAGGCCGGCAAAATTTTTAAGAAGTGGTTTGACGCTAAGCTCAGTGCCAAAAAATGCATCAGAGCCCATGAAAGAGAAATGATTGCAACTGGAGGACGACGACTTAATACCGAACGTTCACCCAGTGGATAACCCTGATTACCTACAGATTAGATGTTTTAATAACCACACTAAGTCCAGCTAAAACACTTCCACACTTTGTAACACTCTTCAATAAGCCAGCCATCTTCAATAGTTCCTGCTTGGAGACCCACAGAACTGTTCTGATCAATGAATGAGTGCGTTCCTCCAAGCCACTGGGCAACAACGTTGGATAGCGACAAATGTGCATTGCAAATTATCTGTATGAAGCCCTTTGCTATCTACAAAATTAAGTTCATTTAGTGATGCTGCTTTGATATCGATGTGGGTGCAGTCTATGGCTCCACTTATGTTTGGGAATCCAGCGATGGCGTTTGATTTGGGCTCGGTGATGGCTGTAAGGGAACTGGATGTAGGCTGGGGCCAGGGGAGTTATGGCATCCAACACACACAACACTGCCGTGCCAGTCTGATCCTGCTCAGTGGTGGCTGGGAAACGTTGCATATGTCTCCAACCTCACACTGGAATGTGCCGGTGGTCAAAATCCTTGAATGTTTTCTATTTGCAGATTACCGCTAGATTATGTGCATACGGGGCACTGCTATAGCTCACCTGGTTGAGCTGGCGTCCCATGTACAGGGCTACAGTCCCGATGTGGAGGTCATGAGTTCGAATCCCGCTCATGATCCTTTCCCACACGTCCTACCCCCATTCTTCTTCCCTACTTCCTGTCTCTCTCACTGCACTATCCAATAAAGGCACAAAGGCCAAAAAAAAAAAAAAAAAAAAGATTATGTGCATACGCATGGTCAGAGTTGTACGTATAATTACGCACATTCTTAAGTATAAGTACAAGTTAATAAATCCTATACTTTGCGTAGGAATGTTCGTACGCACGCTCTACGCACATATCTGTGCGTATGCACTAATGATAAATGAGGCCCCTGGTGCTGTGAAATGTGGCTGTATTTTTTTCATAGAAACTTTAGTATTTAGTATTAGCACTTACATTTCTGAGGCAGCTCTATTTCTGATCAACCACAAATTTTTTAGTTTATCAAATGAAACCGTAACATATGTTGTGTTGTTCTATTGCTTTTCAGGATATTTTTGTCACATCAGTATGACGTCATTGTTTTGGTATCATTTCCAAAAACTTCCCAGATAACAAGAGATTTTACTGCTCACTATGGGCAACACAGGTTACAGCTGCTGCAGTTAAAGCTGAACAGTGTAGGCGATGTATTCATAACACATCCAAACACCAGTTCACCACCATAAATTAAAAGGCCAAAAAAAATCCAACACAAAGCATTTCATTGAATAAATTTTCACTGGGAGACAGGTCTGATAACACTCATCTAATTATGGCAAAACACTCATCCAGCAGTTTTTATTTACTGCTTTGAAAACATACGAGAACATCTTAGAGTTATTACTTTGCTCCCGTCAGACCAGAAGAACAAGAAGGTGGAGAACAGCAAAAACACATTTTGTAACTATATTTAGATCTAAAAACACAAAGAAAAAACATTTCTGAGAACCTCATTGAGACAGATCAAAACATCACCTTACACAGAGCACACAGAAGATCTGTTTCTGTGTTGACACAGGAAGCACATGGGCTGAAATGTGAGCTCTGCTGAAAACCACGGCACCCACCGCTTCCCTCTCTAATGATTTGTTCATATTCTGAGCCTGAGCAGAAACAAAATGCCTCTCCAGGTCTGAAGAGGCAAGATGACCTGAACAAACCCGACTGAACGAGGCCAACGGCAGCTCAGGAGCATGTAACCGAGGAGCGCCGAGGTAACTCATACCACCTCAATTAATTAGCAGTTGGTGCAGCGGTAGAGTTCAATTCTTTACAAAGAAAGATACTGAAGGAATAGGGATGTCCAAAACTGATCCAAAGAGGGCTCAATAAATGGATATTTGAATGGACTGTTATTAGGCAAAACTCTTTAGAGTACCTTAGATTGTTTACTGTTGCAGCACTGCTCTCATTTTCTGGGATTTACACTGAAACCACATCGCTGCCTACAGAGTGATAATCACAGTGTGTGAATCTAAAAAAACCACTTGGGTCATAGTCATGTTAGACAGTTCAGTCAGACTTGTTTATAGTTGAGGCCTGAAAATTTTAATTGATGGAAAAGGTAATAGGGATGAGCTTTGCTTTGTGCTGCTGCTGCTGGGACAAATAAGGTCAAGTAGTCCAAGAGAAACCACACGCTCATTTAATCAAAAGATTCTTGTTTGCATGTGACAACAATCAAATGTTCCTCCACCATTAATATTTTCAAGTAAAGCCTTGACCTCACAACTACAACCATACATTTCCCAGGAGTTCCACAGCTAAATTATTAAATTAACTATTTATCAATAATATCCCTAATTTTGCAAACAGATATATAAATGTAGATGCCTCATATGACCTGACTTTTGGTGCTTCTGGATGTTCTAATAAAATAAATGCCAAAGCCAATTATCAGGAAATAACATATCACATGCAAAACCTTATCTTTCAATGGTTTACTGTTCTCAATGTGCTGAAGTTGATGTATTGCCATCAGTAAGTCATTTCTTAAGCATGAATGACTGAAACTGGCTTTTAACTACCAGCTCTATGTCTCTGCCTATTCACACTATGTAGCCATGAAGCCACATCTCCAACAGCTACTGTTTCTTCATTCTTCTGTTAAATTTATAAATATGCTTCTACCTGAGGCTGTAGTTTCTCTTTACACTCACTTCAGACAAAATTTGGTTGTTGAATCTCAATTAAACAGCAATATTTCAAGTTACAGCAACTAAAAACCATCGTCAGCGTCGCCTGCTGAGTGGAGCACTCTATGCATACTGAGCATCTCTGGGGCCGCGACTTATTGTGGGATGAATTAAGCTCCTTTTTCATTTTCAGGGTACAGATTAAGTATGCACTGACAGTTTGTCATTTGAGTAAATACAGACTGAACTAAATATCTGCAGAGGCCCATGAAGGTGGATCTGCATGATGGATATGAAAGCCTTGGTCACAACCGGACGCACGACTTTTGGGATTGTAAAGTCCTCTGTGAATTTTGGGTCCCGTGGAGGTCGTGGAGGTCATAGAGGTATAGGAAAGGTTGCAAGGACTCCATGTAAGAGAGGATCAAGCCTGCCTTGCGTGTTGCTGCCTTGCGCAAAATAGATCCGGGATGATACAAATTGATTTTAGGACAAAAGTTAAGATTTTATAACAAATGGTGATGAAAATAAATATGATTTCATGTTTTGTGCAGAACCCACAAAGATCCTGACAACTTGGCGGTGACAGCTCGCCTGCAGTGTCACTGTCAGCCCCGGTACTGACTTCCAGTGTGATACCGGCCAGCAGCATCTCCAGTGAGTGGAGACACGTACGAGCTGTAACAGTAATTTATATATGTATATAAATTAGACCGATGCCAATTCTGATATTTGGCAAAAAAAATTCAGATAACCGATTAATCGGCCGATTAATTAAAAAAAATCTATAATGAATAAAATAGGGCTGCAAGGTGGCGCAGTTGGTACTACTGTTGCCTCGCAGCAAGAAGGTTGCCGGTTTGCGTCCTGATGGGGACACTGG